TCAGAGATTTAGCACCGCGTTTACGTGAAACGGCAGACGTCAGCTTGCCCTTTCACGTTCACGTAAAGTAGCGTGAACCTTGCTGCTTTAGCGAATGTCAGACAACTCGCCCCAAAGACAATTAGCCCTGGACGATTCGTCCCCAGACTCCTAAAGATTTAAACAAAAAGGAAACTGTTTGGTTAGCTTCAAAGGCATTCAGTCTATTTTGACCACTGTTGGCAATTGCCGATTCTGAATTTTAAAGAATATTGTGACGCCCCAAAATGTAATACTGCCGCAAAATATAATAATATTCGCCGCAAAATATAATAATATTCGCCGCAAAATGTAATGCTAGCGCAGAATGAAATAACTTCAACGCAAAATGTAACAAATTACTCGACGCAAAATGTAGTAACTTTTCAACGCGAAATGTAATAACTTTTCTAACGCATATTGTGATAACGCAAAATGTAATAACTTCTCTAACGGATAACAGAAAAACTCGAAATATGATACAAGTAGGTAAGTGAAATTAAAATACTTCATCAAAAGGTCTACGGCGAAATGCGAAAGTCATGTGTATTCAAGCAGATTCTCGATGAGGATTGAAGGTCATGTTGTTTTCCTTCCAGGAATACCTTGTAATAAAGTAAAGATTAACCAACCTAGCTCCTCCGATTAAAAGCGAGTTCGCTTATTTCTTGAACGAAGTTATTATGCATCACTACGCAGTTTGTTCTAGGGTGGAAAAAGAGGGCTAAGTTAACGTAGAAATTAAACGAACAGTCTTGTACAAACGATTTAATCTTACCAAGTGTAAGCACAATAACAACCTTCCCTCTTTGACACATATTGTTCTTATTATTTACTTGTAAATAGTCTAACAAGTCCATACGACATTATTTGTCTCTCTCGCACCAACATAATTACATTTTGAGTCAGTATTACATTTTGCGGCGTAACAAATATTGTTAAAATTACGATAAAGATCTCCAACCCTTGTCAACCATATTGTTCATTGGATTTTTAGGTTTCAAAAAAGGCAGAAGTACTTCAAGTTCAACGGCAAAGTCACATACGTTTTGAAGACAGTGATGGTGGAGAGGACACCTAGGATCAGAAGTGCAAAGAGCCCCACATGCCTCCGATACAAACATTTTCTCTCGTTTACTTCGAAGTTAGATTTTAAAGCGCGCTTCAAATGCAGCGGCCTTTAAAACTGTGGTAACGACAAATTCAGCTTTTGATTTCGCGGTAATCATTAAATGAGGACATTGGGGTTGGCGATTAAATGGGCAATTTTTCTTGCGGTATTGCGGTAATTGTGGTATTCTCCAAACCTGCGGGATGCGGTTTTTCTCGCATCTTAGACAGTATTGAAATATCCTCCAAGTCCTCCACTGTTTTCTGAGCCTTTCCAGTCTTCAATTGTTTCGGAAACAAGTTGAAACAGGACCTCAAATAGTTTTAAGGTTCCCTAATCGCAATTTGATAAGGGAATTTTTTTGTTAATTATTAGCCAACACCCCAATGGATGTTACTTATTTTGTTTACTTTGGCTAAATCTAAGTTACCTGACTTAATGTTCATTAAAACAATTCTTAATTGTAGGTTTCCGTTATCATAATAGAATAGGCCTAGAGGTATTAGAATATTTAACAACTATTCACCGAAGTGGAGGTGGTTAGTGGTGGATATTTACCGAGCCGCGAAGCGGCGA